TAAAGGGGCTACTAAAATGTGCACCTAAGCAAAAGAATGGATTTCAATTTTCCATGTAATATTAAAAAATGAAAGAAACAAATTATTTGATGGGAGGTTGTGCCACGTCAACTCTTAACTGGCGGATGAATAAAAAAAGAGTTGAAATTTAATCTTAAGGGAGCAAAATAAATTGTTGTTAGTTAAGATATCAAAAATGAGTTTTAACTTATTATTTTAAAGAATATTATTTTTTTATATTAAAATTGATTTATATTTTTTTACTATATGTTTGAATTGAAGGAATAGAAAGATGTTTGTATTCTTTTATTTCCTTTCATTCCCCTCCCCTCCCCTCTCCTTCTATCCTTTTGATAATTAAATAGAGAAGTTTTTTCTACTCTCCTTCGTTCCCTTGGACCCAAGCACACTAGTAGAGATGTGGAATAGTGATTTTAAATGGATTGATTAGATAGGTTAAATAACAACTTGGGCATTCTAGGGCTTAGCTAGTCACTCATATTGTTAAGGAAAATGATTAAGAACTAATTTTTTTAATAATCTTTTTATATAATCTTACATATTATTAAATAATTAATTTTTATACTATTAAAATATATGATATTATATGCATTTATTCATTCATTTAATAACATATAAAAATTATATTAAAAATTACACAAAAATTATCTCCATATCATGTTGAAGAATTTTTAAAATAGTTTCAGGATTTGGGTTCGAACCACAAAAAGTTAGTTCAAAACAATTGCATAGATGCATTTGAGAAAATGTAACTTTGGATCAAATCATATAATTATGATTTGAACCGTTTACGTAAAATCAGAATTCGAAAAGTTATGATTTTGGTTCGAACCACATTTATATGGTTCGAACCATTTACATTAGAAAAATTATCTCCATATCATGTTGAAGAATTTTCAAAATAGTTTCAGGATTTGGGTTCGAACCACAAAAAGTTGGTTCAAAGCAATTGCATAGATGCATTTGAGAAAATGTAACTTTGGATCAAATCATATAATTATGATTTGAATCGTTTACATAAAATTAGAATCCAAAAAATTATGATTTTGGTTCGAATCACATTTATATGGTTCGAATAACATTTATATGGTTCGAACCATTTTTGTTAGAAATAAGAGATAAAATTCTAATAAAATTCTCGAGGAAGAATGGATAACTTTGGAAGTCAAGGAAACACGTGAGTTGGAATTCAAATTAAACCAAATGACTTTTGGAAAAGTTTCCAACGAATAAAATTGAAAAGGAGCATCTGTTTCCAACAGACATCTTACCTCTATAAATATGGAGTTATCTCTTCTTCTTCTTACACTTTTGAACATAGAACCAAATCCTTACTATTATCTAAATAAAACAACTCCTTTTGTATTGCGATTGTTGCAAAAATCCTTGTACAAAAACTATTGTTTTCTTGCTTTCCAAATGATAGTTCAGTGTTTTATTTTGCTAGTGCAAAGGCTAGATCAACAAGGCACTTCATTGTATCATATGAGCATTTCGAGTTATCCTTTTTGCATACCAGATTTGATGAGGGTGAAATTAGTCTAAAGGAAAGTGGCATTTGCAACATGCCTTAAAACCAATGATTTATTTTCTAAACCCCAATCTCCAACATATCATTCCTCTCTTGTTAATATGGCTAATAGACCAATATAAATTAGTTAGCTTCAAAGGGACTGGGTGCGGAGGTGGCACAGCTATGCTCTGCTTTCGCTATACTTTCATACTTTGACTTTGATATTTGCTTAATGAAGATTTTATCTTTTCATAAAATAAAATAAAACAAAACAGG